ACAGTACATTGGTATTGGGACAGAAGAGGGAAGGAACTCCTTACATCACACGTTGGCGCTGGAAGCAGTGCACTTGTAATCATGGTCTTTGTTAGAGGTATGTAATAAAGCAGGAATTTCACGCTGGAGTGGAAGACTCGAGTGCTCTTTTACCAGGCTTGTGGACACAAGGCTCCAGCCCTTCTGTGAGAGGATGCTGCATCCTGAATCACCAGCAGCTACTCCTACCAAATCTTGCATGTTCTTACAGAAAGCTTCACGTTGAGCAAATGACTTTTAAAAGATCTCTAAGTTACTGATTGATTTTACCACATTGCAGTTTAATAAGCTTCACACCAAAGGATCCAAAAGTCACCATCAAATTTAGCCCCTTTTAAGGGTTTCCAATTCCCATTTTATTGTAGGCTTCTTATGAAGTGTATTTTAAAGACAGCTGCATTAGACTCCAATTTTGCTTAGCTGTGCTACCAATCTAATTAAGTCACTATTCTCCAAGTTCATACTGTAGATGAGCAATATTGTTTTCCAGAGGACTTCTGAGCTCTGTGGAACCAAGTTCATATGTGCCTAAGCACACCAGAAAATACCTGCACTCATTTAAGAGCCAGGTGGAAATACCCTGGGGACAGCCAGCTGAGCAACTCGAAATGGAAACAAGGTGTTTTCTTCTCCTGCAGCACAAAATGATGAAAATATATCCAAACAAATTGGAAAATGAAAGCAGGACTGAAAGAGGAATGTTTGGAAGGACACCACACAGCTTTATTCTAAACTAAACTTACCTACTGTAGTAGCCGTGCTCATATTTAATACAACCTAGGTTTTGCCTCCCCATACCAGAAAGCTGGAGATGTTCTCCAGCTTTACTCTGCACAGTCCTGCATATCTTGTTGGCTACTCCTCTGAGACATCCAATCAACCTGACCACATTCATTCATTATTGATTGCATTTGGAATCTCATCTGCAACTTCTGTGATGACTGAAAAACCCAAGGAGTCTGGAATGAGCAAGATAAGCTCAGCTGAATGTGGTTGTTAGCAATTCTAGTCTTCAAACACCACAGGAGCATTGCTCTAGTAAGGAACAGAAACAATACCTGAATACTTGAATCTTGAGCCCCAGGTAGGAGCAATTAGCTGCAAGCCCTGGGAAGCACAGTGCTGCTGGTGGTTGTAGTATTTCCTTCATTCAGTCAACTCCGAGGTGCTGAAGACCGTGAACTATGAACACTGCTTCTTGTTCCCGTGTTCTGGACATAACCACTGGCTAGTTCTATATCATTAGTCTACCTTAACATTTAAAACTCCTTTATTGGATTTCAAGCCGAACCTTCCTTTTTCCCTCCTTCCCTCAAAGCCGAGGCTGGGGTACACCACCCTTTCCGTTCCTGAGATCCAAACTGTGGATGCTCCTTCATAGCATTCAGTGACCTCAGGAAGAGTTGCTGGTGGGGTGCAGACCATTTTCTCACTCTCTGTTCTGGCCTAGAAAGTGCCCTTATTGTCCTATTTTGCCTCCTTAGCGTCCTTCCCGTTTACCTCTACCTGCAATAGGAAGGTCAGGGCCTCTATCGCTTCTGACAGTTGACTGAGCCTTCGTAATTCCATTTGGCAGGACATCGTCTTCCCTTCAGCCTTCCAGAAGTTTTTAATTAATTTATACTTTTTGACCTACACAACAGCCTCTGGCGATAAGTTCTACAATTCAGTAACATGTTATGTGGGAATGTATGACTTTTTGTTTTAGACCTGATGCCTAATAATTCTGTGGGACATCATTTACTTCTGTTCTGAAAAATAATAGCTATCCCTTCTTCGTTATTTCCTAGCTAGGTAGGAAGTTTCAACATCTCTGTCCCACGTCTAACTATTTTCTCTGTCCTGATTTGAAAACCATTCTGCCTTTCTCATATACTCTCTGTGGGTGGAATTCAGATTAAAACACTTCGATTTAGTGGTGGAGTTAAGGTATCTACCTCACAGATTGACACCTACAGATAGAAGCCTAAATTTAGGTGTCTAGATCTCTGAGCTAAATAACTCCCACCCATCATTTTTAGTTCTGTCTTTTATGAGACAGGATGAACAGAAGTGCACATATTAATCAATATGTGGGTTTGTCAAACATTTATATAGTGACATAATCTTATAATCATGTTTTTCTTCTCCTTTTTTCTCTTTCAAAATTTTCTGTCATTCAGTTTGAATTTTTGACTGCTGCTGGTCATTACATCAGTGCTTTCAAAGTGCTATCCTACAGTCACTCTATTTCTGAATGATAATAACTTAATGTTCAATCCGTAGCTGAATAAGTATAATACATGATTGAATATGTATACTCCCAGAGAAACTGCTTTGCATTTATTAGCATTGACTTTCACATGCCATTTCTGACACAGTCACTCACTATCATGGGAACCACCCGTCTCTCTTCACAGGGTTGGATTTGACTCCCAGTTAACTTTGCGTCATCCACAAACCTTGCCAACACATTATTGAAAAGCACAGGTCCTAACTCTTAATAGTTGCGTGACCAAATCATAATGATCCTTTCAGTGGGAACATTGATGTTTTCTCCCAGTTTTTATCCTATTTTTTTCTCTGTCTTATTTACCTACAAGAGGACACCTTTTTTTTTTTAATCTCAGCATAACTACTTTAAGAGTCTTTGCAGGAAGACTTATTGACATTTGTTTGGGAGTCCTTACACACTATATCAACTAGATCAGCCTTACCTACAAGCGTGTTGACATCTTCAAAGAGTTCAAATAGATTTATGAGACGTGGTCTCCTTCTGCAAGAACTGTAATGACTTTTTCCAAATAAATCACATTTATGAAACCTTCTACTGGTTCTCTTCTATATTATTGCAGTTTTTACCCACTTATTCAGTTTGGAAGTGAGATCTCCTGATCTATGGTTTTTCACATTAGTCCTGGAGTCCTTTTTCCTCAAGGCTGAAGACACATTTGCCACTTCCCATTCTTCTTGCAGTGTGGTCAACTTAAATGACACTTTTCATGCTACATTTAGCTTTCTCTTAATCTAGTGTTTGAGGTCTTTCAGAACTCTTGATTGAGTATCATCTTATCTTGGTGCCTTCTTACTGTTCGTTTTATTGATTTGTTCCAAAATGTCCTCTACTGAAACTTCATTTAGGGACAATTCCTCATACCCTCTACTGCTTCACCACTAATGTACCCCTTTCCATCCTTCCTCTATTATTTGTTCCTTATTCGGGCTTTCCACCTTTCTGCCAAGTTTCTGAGGCATTTATTATATCAATAACTTCCTTTAAAATCAGACATTCTTGTTCACCCCTTTTAGGCTTCAGACTTGCAGCATTTGTATTTCTATATTTTTTATTGATCTAGTTGCCCATTGTTCACAGGGCCTGCTTAGCCTGAACTTTAATTGCTGAGACAATTCTTTGCAATTTCCTTACTCAATATTATTGATTTTAGTTCTTTGCATTTTTCTAAATTACAAGAATTTGCTCATTTCTCTAGAAGAGGAGCTGCCATCTTGAACTATGCATCGCAGCTTAGTTGGTGAGTTTCCACAAATCTCACCTATAAAAATATCTCATTGTTTTGGAATGTTAAAACCTTGCAGTCTACTTTCACATTGATTTATATAGCTTATCTCTCTTATAAAAGCTACCTCACCAACAACTGAAAATCTGCTTGTCTGGTACTGGGACAATTTATAACACCATGTTCCACTTTCACAATTCCTTTCCCACTCATTCCTCTGTCATTGCTATCCGCATGATTCACAACAACTATTCTCTCTAACACTAAATGTGGATACAGAGATCCAGAAAAGGCCTCCAAGGCACTGCAGAAAAGGAAACTTCCTCTCAGATTTTAATAATACATTTTGATAACACCTCCCAGGATGAGACTTGCATGATCACTCACTCCTGTTTAACTTCTGATTTTCTGTAATTCTTATATCTTGCTATGATATGCTTCAGCCTCAGCCAGTTGTCTCCTTTTTATATTTGGATATTTATTTGCTATTTCGGCACATACGAGTTGCCTCCTTTTATTTCACATTCTTGATCTCCGGATCACATTCTCCAGCTTCTCAAATTCATTGAAAGTTTGACCCTGACCTTCAAATACATCTCGGGGTGTACACAAATGTTGTGACTGAGTTCTTTGTTAAACCATATAAGCCATTAATTAACATGCTGAATAGAACTGGGCCCAGGACACACCCTAGCCGGGTGTCAGTCAAAATAACTTCTCAGTCTGACAGTGCACCATTGCCACCCACATGACATCACATCACACACCTTCTAAATGATGAACCCGAAGCTGTGAACTATGTCCTGCCTGCCAGGACAATTAAGGCCATGGTTTCCCTTACTCCTTTCTGAATCCAGATCAGTGTCTGCAGAAAGGATGGCCGCCACTAGACGGACTATTTTGAGTACACTGGAAGTCCACTTATGGCCTCTGATCACGGCAGTATGTGGATCTATTGGCATATATGCCACAAATCTCATTGCCCCAGGAAGCACTGGCTTTTCTATGCTTTCACAATACAGTTATGTGTTAGAAGGAGGGCTGCAACATATGGTCTCTCCCTTATACAGAAAGAAGGTAAGTGTCTCACCCAGCCAGAAATACTGGGCACACTGATATAGACCATATTTCTTTAGTCTGCTTCCGAGGGAATAATGTGGAACAGTTTCAAAAGCTTTCCTAAAGCAAAATATGTCCCATCTGCTGCCTCCTCTTCATCTACTAGACTTTATTTTCTCAAAGAAGGAAATTACAGTGAGATCTCATGATTTATTCTTGGTAAATCTATGGTGTTGTTTTTCTTTTCTTTAAAAAAAAACACTTCTATTTGCCTTAAATTGATCATGGTGTTTTTTTGGTTTTTCTTTTTCAGACTAATTTCTGTGAAGAGTGGTCTCTTGTTCCCTGATTTCTATTTTTCCAGAAGTTAACTGTTTGCCCTTGTATAGTGCTCAGTGATCTCACCTGCCCTTCCAAGAACTTCCAGGACAGTCACTAATGCTTCAGTAATTGCTTCAGCTACTGTCTTCACCCAGAGCAGTTTGAGGCCAGAGCTTCTGATCTGGAAGAGCAAAGACAGAACAAATACGAGGCACAAAAACAATATAAACCGACATAAGGGAGTAGGGCCAAGTCCAGATTAGTTGCTCTTATCTCCCCTTTGAGGAGGCTCAGGCTCCTCTCACAATGGGCAGTTTAGAAGAGCACAGCACAGCAAGAAGCTGCCTCCCAGCTGAGAAAAGCAAGCTGACAGCTCCGAGAAGGCTGTATCTCAAAATACATTCATAGTTAAGAACTTTTGGCCTACTGTGCTGTAGGGAATTTAAATACCAGGAGCAACAGTAGCTGTGGATGTGATGACAGAGATTTGCAAGCTTGTAGGCAGAACATGAAGGGGTCTTTTATGAGACACCTATGTGGATGCTAGAAAGTGCCAGGGAGGAGAATGAGGTCCTAATACATGTCACAAATTTTAAAGGGAAATGTAAGTGAAGGATCCTGGAAGGCAAAGTCAAACTGCTGGCTAGAAGATTTAGCCCTAGGGTACTGTTGACAGTTTCTCCAAAACCCTTCCAGTTACACACACAACACCAATTAGGCAGAGGAGAAGAAGATGCTATCCAGAGGTGACGCTCTCCATCAAAAGTCAAAAGCGAAATCAGACTTTTCACAAGGAAAACGTATATGATGTGTTTAATTAAGTGGGAGCTGGGGGAAATCTGTCATGAGCTAAAGCAAACATTGCTAAGAGTTGGTAAAATAAAAATGCTCTGCGTATCCAGCTAGTTCAGAGAAAAAGCTCAGCACAGAGATGAAAACAATTCATAAGTGAAATTGGATTATATCAAGACGACATCAGACTAAGAAGTTAAACAAAAGTGCCCCCTCTAAGAAATATAAACGTGTATAAATAAAGCAAAAGTAATTTTTAAAAAGCTAGATTCACCCGGATAACAAAATCAGGTCTTGACACAGCAAAAAAAGTAAAACGCAATGACAAAGCTGGTGGTGTACCACAGTACACTGTCACAAGCAATAGAAAAGAGAATATAGGTCATAAGAGTGAAATAATTTTTATATTTTTTTAAAACACGTAAAGGAATTTAGTGAGACTAAAATCTGTACTGGAAAAGAGTATTCTGGCTGTACTGGCTGAGCTGGAAGGATGTTAGCATATGAGTGGAGATATCTCATCAGTCACCAGCGAAATATGAGTAAGTATTTAATGCTGAGAGGTGAAATACTAAACATGGGGACCTCTATTATTCATAAATAAATCAAGATAATGGCACAAAGGGATAGAAGGCTGGAGAACCAATTTACAGAAACACAGTATGACTGCTTTTCAGAACTGTTAGATCCTGAACATTCAGGAAGGCAGGCTGCTCTCTGCTTTAATATTATGCAAGATACGAAAGGAGTATTTTCAAGAAGAAGTAGTCAATGGACCAACAGAGAATATGGGTGGCTCTTACAGAACAGAAAATTGTGTCTTGCAGTGCAATGGTTATGACTTAGGAGATCTTAATGGACAAGGAGCTAACCACCAACACTCAGGGTAGAAGCAAGATGAAATGGGAGAAGTCATCAGAAATGAGGAATAAGTTCAACCTCTGGGCACAGCACCGCTGAAACTCCTAGTATATCTAATTCTGATGTTCACATTTAAAGCTGTTGAAAGATTAGATTGGGGGCAAGAAAGAGCCATAAGAAGTATATGAGAAGAACGTGTAACTGAGAAACTTAAACAGCTCAATTGTGGGGTGATTCAATAACTACCTTCACAAGGGGAAAATATCAACCAGCACTTTTTAATCTAGTAGAGACATAGGAGAGACTAAGGGTAGAAAAATGGAAGTGATTCAAACCAGAAATGAAGCACACATTTTTTAACGGTAGTGATGATTAAATTTGGGAGCAAACTACCACCTGAAGTGATGGATTTTGCAACTCCTGACATCTGGAACATGTGTTCCTGTGAAAAGTTCAAGTTTTAATAAATAAAAATATCTTTTTCCTTATTAAAAAAAAAAAAAGTCAGAAAATTCCTAGCCGCTATTTGGGTTACCTCTCTATATTAAAAGAATAGTAGATGAGCCAGAGAAATTGCTCTGCACATTGAAGGTTGGGAAAAATGATAATTAAAAGCAGGATAATGGAATTCCTAGATAAGAAACACGATATTGTAGGAGCTAATTATCACAATGTCTGTAATGAACATTTTGCATCACTAATATTTTAGAATTATTCGAACATATCTTTATAATAATGATCAAAAGGGAACTGCTTGACATAATCCACTTGAACATTCAAAAACCTTTTGACAGCCTTTCTCAGGCAAGGCCTATTTCAGAAGAATCCTATATGGCCAGACATTTTGGGTGCTACATAAAGTCAAACCACAGACCAGCATGCAGAGATTAGAATAAGAGCCAGAACACTGCCTAATATTACAAACAGGTATTTCACTACAAGATTTAGCTTTTCTGTACTGTTTTCTAATACTGTTAAGTGACAGTATTCCAAGTACAATTTTTATAATTGCAATCAAGGCACCAAGAACTCTTGTGCAAGTACTTTTAATACACTACAGGAATGAAATATGGCACATAAGGCACAGACAACTTGTAGAGCATCATTAAACATACCACAATCATTAACAAACGTGCCAAGGACAGCTAGTACATCTGTATGTAATTCAAGCGGAGGAGTTGGGTTCCACTGTTTTTTCTTTTTTTTTTTGAGTTACATACTTCAGAAAATTCCAGCTTACCCTCAGTCAATAGAATGTGAAGTACAACTGAAAAAAATACCCTCTTGGGAATTTTCATTGGACTGAGAATTGTGGCACTTCTCAGTAAATGTCAGGCTTATCAGTGTTGTGAGTAAGCATCAGTTAGCTCTCAAACAAGCTGACTCTGTTCATTTTTCTCAGTACTGTATGTAATATTCTCCTGGCAGGGAACAGCTCTTTTAGTAGACTGCAGCACAAATTTGTAAAAGAAGCTTGCCTCAGCTCTGATCCAAAAACTAGAAGATATCTAGTATATACTGTATCACTGCAGCAAGATCTGCTTTTTGACTTAAACCCCAGACTGTTTGAAGTTAAAGGAACACAAAAAATATCAGTTTTTCCTTTTAGAGAAAAACATAGATTAATTGTAAGAAAACACTCATCTTTATATTTGGTTACCTACTTCAAATTACATCAGTAGCTTCAAGTATGTCTTTGACCTGTGAGTGGTTAACGACATCAATATTTGCAACACATTTTCATCCTTTTATAAGGGTTCTTTGTTCATTTCCACCATGTAAGCTTTTCTCTTTATATTGCTAGATGAGACCTAGCAGCATCTTGGTAAGATCTTCATTAGCATTCAAATAAAAATTCATGCCTGCTTGTATAGTGGGGGAGATGAGTTCAGTGCTCACTGTTACCATCAGAAGTGTTTACATTCACAGCTACGTTTCATTTTCTTTTGACAGAACATAACAAAGCACAAGAAAGCCTGCACTGGGTCAGATCGAAGGTTCCCCTACTGCAGCGCCTGCTTTTACATACAAATGCCTGGGGAATGAGCTTAAGAACATAGCCAGAATACAGTGATGCTTTCTTGGAACATTATTCTGTTTCCCAGCATGCCTTTGGACTTTTTGAACCACTGTCTTCCAGGTTATGCCATAACTTCATTTCTCTCCATTAACTTTTTCTAATAACCACAAAACACAAGTAAACTTTGAGCATCTGTAATATCCCACAGCAAAGGATTTTGCAGCTTAATTACATGTTTTGTGAAGAACCATAAGCCAAATTGATTTCAAGTTCTTGCTTTGCAAGAGATACTAAGAGGGCTTCTGAAGTTTGGAGAGGAGGCAACAAGTGGGATATGAGTAAGGCTTATAAAATTGTGGCTGTAGATACAAGAGGAGGACAGTCCAGGCAGCTGACTGTCAGTCTAACCCACTAGAGCTTTTCTTAAGTTGCTGTAGCTGGATTACCTGCATCTTCAGTAGTCTTTCACTGGATTCCACCGTGAATGTGTGAAATGTGGTTTCTCACTGGAAAAATGTTCCCTAACAGACAAGATTTTACCCATTTATGCATTTTATTCTTATAATTTCCACTCACTTGCTCAGTACAGACTCCAATGTGACGGTCTGCAGTTCTCCATTTCACTCCTGGGGACCTTCTCAGCAATTGTTGTCACATTAACCATCTTCCAAGCTTCCTGCAGGGAGACTGATTTAAGTGACGGGTTACAAACTATAGTAGCTCTATAATTGCATATTTGTTTTCCTTCAGAGCTCTTGAGTGAATACCATATGGTCTTGGCACTTTTTGACTCTTCATCTTATCAATTAGTCCTAAAATGCATTTTAATGTCACTTAATTTGAGACAGTTCCTTACACTTGTCCCCATAAGTTTGGCTCTCAAGGGAGAATAACCAACCTTAACCACAGCAAACATCAACAAAGCTTTGTTTGCCTTTCAGTGCTTTTCCTCTCTTACAGTAATTCACAGATCTCTGGAAAAATACCTGATTGTGGTCATTTTAAATATTTCTACTAGCTGTTTTTATTATTCTTTTACCAGGTCTTTCCTTAAGGGTTTCTCTTGCTTGCCCTACAGGTTTAGCTTGATAGTTTATGGTTTTTGTTGGTGGATTGTTTCAGTGGTTTGTTTGGGTTTTTTTTGTAGGTTTTGCTTGCTTGTTTGTTTTGGGTTGCTGTTGTTTTGTATTTCTTTTTGAATAGTTTCTTTATTTGCTCAGCACTCCCAGACTTTGAATACTGACTTCCACTCTGCAGTTGGAATATTGCCTTTTTTGTCCCCTGCAGAATCATTCCACTTCGTGATATATTGCTCTGAGCTTCGGATAGGGTGTTTTCATCTAGTTTCTCATCTTCTGCATGCTTATATCCGCTGCTTTTAATTTCCTTTTAAGAAGCTCCTGTATTTTTGAATAGGTCCCATTCATAAGTTAGTTATTACTGTGAAGTAGTTATGGGGGGAATCAAATACCCTTAAGACAATCTGTCATTAACACCTCAGGAAAAAAAAGAAAAAAAAAAGATAGGTATCAACCCAGGTATTTCAAAAGCAAGCAGGCTTCGGAGAAAAGAGAACACCCCCAGCTGGAAAGGAAAGGATGGAGAGCACTGCCACCACACTGCACCCTTGTGGCTTACAGGAATTAATGATTTATATGTCATGGCTAAGCTGTGTTGTTTTTTTGGGTGGTTGACAGCAGGCTCATGTGGAAAAAAAACCGGTCTCACAAAAGAACAACAACAAAAAAATACTAACCCAAGAACCAAAACAAAACAGCTAGCATGGGGCCAACCTCTATGGGATGCACTGTGAGCCACACACCCCCATTCTCTGCAAACCAGGGCGAACATGCAGGGGTAACAGCTCTTTGGGTCACCAGCCAATGCTAAGCCAGACTTGGGCATGTCAGCAGCCAGTCAAACTCAGCACCTTTAGGATGCTGGTCCTTCTCAGGATACCAGTGTGTCTGGGTAGCTTTCTGCTCACAGCTGAGGGTGTCCCAGCACAAGAGCACCCATCTGCAGAGACAGGCTCCCTCCTCGTGCAGACAAGATGTACAAAGTGCAGCGTAAATGGGAATGCAGAGCAGGCAGCTGGCAGCACCCAGGCAGGCCTGCAGACACGCAGTAACTCACAGAGTGAGGTCTACCAGATGTTTCAGCCTCACAAGGCAGCCACACGCATGTCCTACTGCCGGAACTGTGTTTTGCCTCCTGCCGTGCTGCTCTCCTGCAAGAATGCTGGAACATGCTGGTTGTTTGAGAGTTACTTTCCCTTCCTAATACTGGTGGTACCACAGGTTTGTGTAGTCAAGTAAATATCAACAGGAAACAAATCACAGCTTGGAGAAGCGCTGCTCTCCACCCTTCCTCCAGCATCACTTGTTTACACTGCTGCGCTGCAATCTGAAAAATGCCATCTATAATGAATACTAACTAGTGGGAGTCTCTCTCAGCAATGTGTTACTAAGCCTGATTGCTGTGCAGTACAATACGCCAGGAGAGAGCGGGGGCTGGCTGCGTGTCTCTGCTCCATGCAGTCACAGAAGCTGTCAAACCTAGGGGCCTCTGTGATCTCCAAGCAGCATGTCTCCCTACAACCTTTCCTAGCTACCCATTTATTTTTAAAATGTTACCTTGTTACTGTAGCTCTGTTCTTTCAACCAATTTTATTGTCATTATTATTTCTATTTAAAATTCGTGTACTTTTGCAATTTAATCTTTTTTCCAAGCCAATTCACAGCAATATGTTAACTGCTGCCTTGTAATAGAAGTCACCTAGAGGTAATATTCAAAAGTCCTCACTATTAAGAAATGACTCACCTCTCTGTTACAAAATCTGCACCAAATTGCCTTTCACTCCTGCCCTCAGTAAATTCATGTGTCTCAGCTCCATCACCAAGATCATTTCCAGGCTCGCAGTGAGCGCCTGCCTGTGGAGGGCACACAAAAAACCAAAGGATGCCAGAATGACAGAACACTTTTCACACATCAGTGATTCTACAGTACTTCGCAGCTCCTCGAGCTATAAGAGCCAGGAAGGAGAAGGGGACCTAGGCTGAAGAAGGTGGCAGAAAAAGGGTCAAAGTAGTAAAGCATCCTAACAGGTCCCCCGCACACTCTTCAAAGTTCCTGCTCTCAAAACGGAATGCATCTGCCTATATTTTGGGACTCAGAGGATACTTTGCATTTCCCTCCTCTGACAGTAGGTTACATCTTCCAAACATTGCAAGGCACAGCTATGATAATTCTACACAACAAAATGCGCAGAAAAGAGGTACTGACCACAAGGCTTGTAAATGCATGATTAAGAGTTTGTTGAGGCATGGTTTTTTTGCCCTTTAGAATACTGAATTTGGGCAAAACTCAAGTTTCTGAAATCCAGCAAAGGGTTCATACTGATGCAATGCATGTCCATCGTTTGACTGATATACAGGAACGTTCATATAAATATACACACACCTCCTGTACACACAGTACCAAGTGCCCCAGCAGAAGTGCTTTGGGACAAAGCCTAATACTTTGCTTTGGTGAGATCAAACGTAACTGTCAGGTGGCTGTTTTGAACAGGAGATAGGAGAACTCATCACACATGCACTTGCAATGAGCTGTGCAAAGGTCACTCTGCTCTGTGAATAAGCCCGTGTCAACACTGAGCATATATTAGAGTTCAGAAAACACTTTGCTGAAGAGATCCAGGCTTTCTGGGTTAAAAGGTTATGAAATTTATTCTAATCTCTATTTCTATTTTCATAGATCTTCACTACCAATCTATTACAGGGAAAAAAGTCAGAGCAGCTAAATTTAAGGTTTCCCAACTTCTTCTTTTATATGACTCTGATCGTATCGCTACAAGACTATTCAGAATTGTAGGACAAAATGTTCAGAATACTCCCAAGCTAACTTGAAATTTCTTATTCATGTAAAACTGAATTTGCTCCTTAATTTCTCAGACTGAATTTTTTTTTTTTTTTTTTGTTAAAATATTCCTTTCACCATTTTCTCAAGAGTCTTTTGTGTCTTTGTGCTTTAGCACAGGTTTTCTGCTGGTAAGAAGTCTATATCATTGCCTTCACAACTGTCCTTAAAGTTCTTACATGTTGAAGCAACTTGAATCATTAAAAGTTATATTCTGCAAGTCAAACAGAATAGCTAAGGCACAAAAAGATTTAATTTCCAGGAGGAGAAAAACACCAGAATAATCTGAATTATTTCTAAGCACACAGAAACTAATAAGGAGATGAGGACTTGTCAACATGAACTCCTCATGAAGAAATCAAGCTGACTCTGTCTAATTTCCCTCTCTGGCAGATAAGACTTTGCAGATAGGGAAGAAGCACCAGATGCCACATACCTCAGTGTTACTGAGGCATGTAACTTTTCCCACATGACATTCACGAGTGCATGAATGCCCAAGTTGAAGGCACAGCACAAATCTGGTTGGAATCCACACTCTGAGATCAGTTTCTAATGATTCACTGTGAAATTTAAAGGAGAAATTGAACGGTTATTCAGCTTTCATCGGTTCCATTCAATATTTTATTGATAGCTGGGCTGAAGAAATGGACTGTTTATTAAACCTGCCAAGATTAAATCAGTGAAGAGTGACTACAAATACACAGGAGATAGAAGTATTAAAAACTTTTGACAACTTGGACAAGCTGTCTATAAAAATAGGAATCATCTCAATTGTAATAAGCGTAGCATTTCAACTTAGGCAGGAGCAAAGAACACAAATACAGCTCATGCATATGGTGGACAGAAAGCAGCCTGCAAAAAAAACAAAAACAAAAAAACCCAAAAAACCAAAACCTGAAGGTTGTGATGGCTCAAAAGCTGAACAGGGGTCATTCTCTTGAGCAAAGAGGAAGCACTGCATGGACACATTAACAGAAGAATTACCTACAAGACATCTTGCAGGTTCTCTTACTGTATTCAATATTAGTAATGCCTCAGTGCACAGGCATGTCCAGTCTTGGATAATGCTCCTCAGGAAGGGCTGACAGGGCAAGCAGCAAGCATAACAATGGCTAGAGGTCTGGAAAACATGACCTGAATCCGAAGGCTGAGAATAGGAAGTGCTCAGAAGAGAGAAGACGGAGGAAAGAGGCAATAACAGCCCTGACAGGATCAGGACAGTCAGGACAGGTGCAGAACAGCCCTGTCGCTCACAAAAGTCTGCCACGAAATGGAAGAGAAATATTCATTTCTGCTTATGCCACGAATGCCATCAGCGGGCATCCTGTGGTGAAAGGAGATGAACTAAGTAATAATCTGCTGAGATTTCCTCCAGCTTCCCTCTACAGTGATTCTGTGCTTAGCTGATGCTGATCGGTTTGTCTGTAGTCAATTTGTCCTGATGTACCCTAGTGACTTCACACAGTCATTGCTCATACACATTTACATCATTTCTGCATTAACATCATCATTAAGGTTACAGTGTTATACCTTCAACTTCCCATCTCACGACTATCTGTCTTACAAATACCTTATCAAAATGCTATTTGCCAAACCAGCTTGACTTGCAACTCGTTAATCAGAAGCCATTTTAATAATTAGTGCTCAAATATTAATTCAGAAAAATCTTTGTATTTTAATTTTCCTTTCTAACCAGCACAATGGATAAAAGGGCTTATAAGCATTTGGCACCACTGCTTTCAGTCTCACAGAACCTAAATTAGAGCTGCTGCTGACGAAGTCTCCCATTCCACTCACATCTATAGCTATGACAATTTTAGAAAAAGAAAAAAAATGCATAAATCTTGGGCCTCTCAGAGTCAAACTCACAGAAGACACCAGACCACTGCTGCTGCCATTAGCACCTGGTCTATTCCCTACTACGGAAACAGAACCAGCAGCACCTACACCCATTCTGACACCAAGAGATAAGTATTTGAACTTTTTTCTCAGATTATCCATTTTAGTGATTACACATCCCAAATGAAGAACGTATTCCTAATGTCTGCCACTGCCATTCAGCCTGTTATCTTCAGTGTGCACAGAATAAGTTAACTGAATGACACGACTGCTTCTTAGTAGCAGTTACTTGCTTCAGGTGCCAAGGGAAATCAGTGCTGCCTTATCAAACAGTTATAATCAATTAGTAATATTGATCAGAACCAGCTCCCCACATGACTTAGCAAATTAAATGGTTGCACTGCAGTGTTGCTGGAAGAACGATGACCCTCATAAAGCTGTGCAGGTTCTGAGAGATATGAAAATAAAGCTCAAGTGCACTAGCATATAATCAGTTAAATCAGTGTTACACAAAACCAGAAATAATGCAAGCCACAGACCTTGTTAGCTCTGTGCATCCTTACACCATGGTTAAACTGAGTTGATATGTCAGAGAGAAAATCCAAAAGATTTCAGATTTATCATGTTAATTCTTTACATCACCTTCTCAAGAATTCACACTGCTGTCATTTTCTCTTCCATTTTGATTACCTTCTTTGCAACATATTGGTTTTCTTACTTTTACTGAATAATTCCTCACCTATTATATCTATAATTATTCAAATAATTAAGCATGCCTTTTCATCAGCTAGCAGCTAATTACTTCTACTCCTACCCAGCTTGCTCAGAAAACAGTCAATTCATCTGTATCCCTTTCACTCTCACTGTTGCTAAGCAGTCAATGCCAGTCAGAATGGCACAGTAACTGGCGTTGTATGGCTCACTCTGGCTTTAAGTGCATTCTGCAGCATCTGACTGGTGGTGCCTTTCAACCTCTGAGCAAATGCTTCTCACCAGTAAGCAAGCTTTAGTCACGTGCTGAAGTGCAGCACCTGTTGGTAAAGACTGCTTATCCCCACCTCTCCCAGAGAAGCTTTGGAGCTGTTAGTAAGCAGGCACTACTTGCTGCAAGGTGCAGTTTGCAATTGGAGAGATCCGAAAAGAATCAGCTAGAAAGCCAGCTCTACTACCTGCAGTTTTCCTTCTTTGGTTGTCAGGCCTTACCCGTGATTTGTTATGTGCAAAAGAAGTTACGAAGCAGTCAGAGCTCTCACCTCTCTGGCATTATCACACACTATCCTTCCAGACCTCTTGTTACACCATCCCACGTCAGGTAACCTGAGAAGTGGACGCTGTCAGCATGACTCCGCTATATCTCACCCTACTTCCCACAGCCTAGTACAAACAGCCTCTGCTTCAAAACACTCAACCTCATATCAAACTTCAGTGACGTGGTGACAAATCAGCCCAGGCTGCTTTTTCTCCAGTTACCTGTTATTTTGTTCCAAGGTGGGACGAGAGAAGCTGCTGCGTGAGAGCAGGGATTCCCACAGGCTCCAGCCCCAGCAGCCACTTCCTTGCCTGCTCACAGTTAATGGTGAAATGTTAGAGGCTGATCTTTCCAGCCTTCCTAAATATTAAGCTAGGTCAAAATCCTTAAGCTTTTCATGTAGTTTGTGACTGCAGACTCTGAAATAAAATAAAATAAAAGCTGGCAATTGCAACGGTTGTGCTTGATTCCAGAGAAGGGGAATTCAAAATAGAAAAAAAAAAAAAAAAAAAAAAAAGTAAAAATAAATAAAAATTTTTGAAAAAGGAAATTAAAAAAAACACTCAGAGTGGCAGCCAGAAAGGCAAAATGTTTTTAGATGGCAGGTAGACTATTTTAGGATTCTGTATTGGAGGCTCAAAGCAAATGCATATAACCTGTCAAAAAAGACTTGAGAGAAAAACAAAAAGCTAGCATCATAAAACAGCAGGATCAGGGAGGCTGTTGGAAGTTAAAAGGTATCCTGCAAAAAGCTGAAGTTGTGTCTGAAAAAGGAAAACTAAAAAGAACATAAATTCTGGCAGACTAAATGTAAAAGCACAATAATGTAGACTGAAGAAAGAGTTTAGAAGCAGTTTGCTGAAGAAATAAAAAAAATTGTAATAAATCCTTCTTGAACACATCAAGAGCAAGACGCTTACAAGAGCCAGTGGGCTTTGTACGTATGAAAGAAATACTCAGAGAAGATAATGCCATAGCAAAAAACCCCAAACACATTTAAATCACTGTTTACCTGGAGAATCTCCAGAAACTCTGAAACCACCATCTCGTTTGGAAGAGATAGAAGGCCTGCCCTAATTTAAAACATTGTTAGGAGTAGATTACAAAGGAGACAAAATGCATAACGATCTATCACTGGGAGTGGGTGATATTCATACAAGGTTTTTATAGAATGTTAAACATGAATCATCTGAGCTAATACTTATAGTATGTAACCTTTTGCTGAAAATCACTGCTATTATCAAAGGGCTGAAAGGTAACTAACGAGAAATCAGATTTTAAAAATAAATCCAGCAGCAACTCAAGAAACCACAGAACACTAAGTCTAATGTCCATACTGGTCACGTTGGTGGAAGCTCCAGTAAAGATGAGAATGAGTGAATACATGAATAAATGCAACACGTTAAGGAAAAGTAAACAGTGATTTTGCAAAAGGAATCTGAGCCTACTAAATCTGCTGGAATTCTTTGAAGGCATCAGAAGCACACGAGCCACAGAGATGCAGCTGAGAAATTGTCCCTGTATTTCCAATTCACCCCAAGCTTCCATAAGCCTCCGACATTTAAGGTGATCCCTCCTCACAACTAATCAACTGTGGTCTACAAGCAAAGACCTCACAGAGATAAATAACTCATTAAATATAAGAATTGAAGATTAGACTAAAGGATGAGTTTTCTCAGAGGAGAAAGACCATCAGTGGAGTCCCATGGGGATACGTAATAAGGCCCGTAGTGTTCAGTGCATTCAGAAATGGTCTGGAAAGAAGGTGGAATAGCAAAATGAAGATTTCTGATTGAAATGGAATTCATTAGGAAAATAATTACTGCAAAAATGGAAAGATGTGATGACACCGAGCGGACTCACAATAAAATGGAAGGGAAATTTCAGTGCTGACAACTACAATCTGGCTATCCAAGAAAAGCAACACTGACTTTCCAAACAGAGCAGTGCACTCTGAACCAGTTTGCCCAATTTAGGAATCACATCTTGAAAGTATAAAGTTAGTTCTATGAATACATCACCTTATTGCTCAATAGCAGTCAAAAAAAGAAAGAAAATCATAAGTTCAGAATTCTTAGGGAAAAAAAAGGTATGACTACATCACTGTGTGAATTCATGCTGCATCTGCTTCTCAAATATCAAGTGCAGTTCTGGTATCCTCACCTCAAGTAAAAAGAAGGAACAAAAAAAATCTCTAAAGGAGAATGAAATGATACATGGCAGAATGACAAACATGATAAGGAGTACAAAAACGCTTCAAAGTGAAAAACAAAGTTAGCATGCAGAGGTTGAATAGGAAGTGTTGACTTGCCATTTGTCTTTCCCAGTTGTACTGAGCAGGCCAGGTGCCAGCAAGGGGAAATGGACATTGCACGAGCACTCTGTCACCTGCCTTTTTGTTCAGCTACTGAAGCCTTCATATTCTGTCACAGGAATTTCAAGGCATGTGTAGGAATGACGACAGCTAGGTTTCAGGCACAGATTTCAGACAATCCCCAGCACGGTTTCAGGAAAAAACATATGGGGAGTAAAGGAGGAACAAAAGACTGCTGCACTTGCAGTACTTTCTGTGCCTGTTACTTCTAAATCATCACTCATTAGAGGTCTCTGCTTCCTTTCCCATCTGCCCTTCCCACACTACAACTTTAGAATTAAAAGCAAAAAAAAAAACTGACAAAAAAACACCACAAAACCATCACCACAGAACACTTAGGCAGCATTTACTAACATTTAACTGACTACAGCAACCCAGCCAGGTTGCCTCCATAGCATTTTAACACAGCTCCTTTCACCTTTTTATGCTTCTCTCATTTTTCAAACTCATTTGAGCATTGTGGGTTCGGGTTATTAGCTTGGCTCCTTCAAGGACAGCACTTCTTTCCAGTCAGGTGTGCAGTGGATTGTACCAATTGGTCCCCCACCTGCTGACAGCCTTAAACTACTGGTGAGCTATTAATAATACGAAAGCAATCATTTTAATTGCAACCTGGTGTCTAGAATTTAGGATCCGCGCAAAGAGTTCCTTCTATCTAAAATATTATTGTCCCATTGTGCATTTTGGAGTTTAGCTCTCATTAAAAGTAATAGAGGGAAATAGTCTGTAGCAAACGGAATGTGTTTGTTTTCACAGTTCACCTCCTGCTCCTCTACATGAAAACATACTCTCACTCAGTGACAAGACCACAGCTGTTGCCATCTTTTAGTTACCTGCTGAGTGCAATATTTAGCTTGAGGGACACTGAAGTTTTCTGTTTGTTAGTTATCAGGTCAATAACTCTCACCTTATCACTTCACTTTCCATTCTGTTGATAAAACCTGTCAGCCTTCCTTGAGTGGTTCCCGGCCCTCAGAAGAAATCACATTAAATTGGCACAACGAAGTAAATCTGTAAGGGATGTGCTCCTGACTTACCAAAGGGAAGGGGGAGGGCTAGAATTTTCCTCCCCACTCCTTGCACACCTCCCATGTCCCAGTAACTCAGAGCTCTGTTGAAATCCTCCCCACAGATTCAGCAGTTCCAATCAGCTCAGGTCTTTCAATATGGCCCAGAGGAGATGTCTGTGGAGCCAAAATTGATATGGTTAAGTGCAAGAGACAATAATCATTTCTTCAAGTAAAAGCTAAAAATACCCAGAAGAAAGTGGAATTTATAATGGAGATTTTAAAGATCTGTGACATACCAGAGCCTGCACAAGGGTTTTAATGAGAGGGAAGGCAATTTAATTGGTCAGCGAGGGCAGCTGCTTTCCTGGGTGAGGGGTCTAGAAGGGCTCACATTCCCATTTAATGCCACGAGCATCACTGCTGTGCTTAACATGGCTGCGACAAGCCCGTGGTACAGGAGCACATCATCAGATTCGGGAGAACCTTGATAATCAACGTCTCCCTGCTGTCAGATCACAGAGCTGAGCTACAAGGAGGAAGCAATAAAAAGAGGAGGCAAAAGCTGACAAGGAAACATTTCCAGAGGTAATTGCGCGACCGGCCATCATTGGTCGTCGACATTTGTTTAATTATTGTGATAGAGCTCAGCGTGGGGCACGAAGTAAAAACAGCCCATTAAATTTTAAGGTCTGTTAACGCGGCGTTAACAGGGAGCTGCCGAGTACAAGGGTTAAAATCTGCAGGTCTCCCATGTGGAAACACTTTGGGAGTGTATGTCACCGTTCAAAGGAAACCCAGAAATAACTTCCATGGACCATTCAATTATAGGCAATCACCACACAGCACTCCCTCTACTTGTGGCACTGCTCATCAATCAGGTTTTCTGTCATTATGTCTCTTCTCATAGCAGTCACCAAAAGGCTCTGAGCTCCCTCCGAATTCATGTGACATTTACTGTCAGGGGCTGTCAACACCAAGAGATTCTCCCAGGGCCTCGGAGTTCATCACAAAGCAACAAGATATATCCCCCAACCACGTTCCCAGCATCAGCTCTGGATTACAGTGAGTGACTGAGGGGCACTGCAGCAGGCAGGGAAGAGCGAGCAGCAGTGCAAGCTCCAGCTTATGCCCAAATACCTTCCTTTCTTTATTTTCATAATAGAAAAACACAGCCACATTAAGAGAAATACAGCTCAGGTTTTAAGTCTGTAATTAATTATGATCTTCTCAAAAGCATCTCTTATAAACCTTTTAGTAGAAAGACCAGATTGTTTACTTGGAAACGTAGGCTTCCCATCTTTAGCATTGATCCTGCATTCATTGTCTGTTTAACAATAAACTGACCTAGTGGAATAAATTTATAAACCTTAATAAATTGCAGTTGGCAGTATTGACAGAGTGTGTATGTGTACATTTGTTTTTGTGTGGACATATTATAAGAAATCTAATAAAGTAAAACAAACACATTTTCTTTGTCTGTGAGCTGTGAAACTAGATCATCTGTAATTACAGTGATTCAAGCAGACTTGGTCAGAGTCGCCTGATATTTTTACCATAAATATCTAACTAGAGAAAAAAATGTGCATCAAAGCTTGCATCTTCCACTGGGTTACTTTGCTCAAGATGCAGAAAAAGGATACAGACAAAATAATTATCCAACTCACCAAAGACCACTGTGAGACAGGAGGAAACAGTTCCAGCATGCAGGGAATGAAGTTCCAGTGGCAAATGAGTCTTAAAGAAACAATGAGGATCTTGGATAAGTTGGTTTTGCCCAGACTTTAAATGGGAACTGACATTAACAAGTATTTAAACCAACAAATAAACGAGTGACTTCAATTCTGAGGCTTTTGTAAGATCTGAGAATTTGTATGACCTCTTACAACTTCAATGTTTGGTTTTAGCTTACTTTCTAAAACCAGCCTGGTTTCTTCTTTCCACCAAAATAAATATATTCCTTAAGGAGCAAAGTATTTATTTTCTTTAAATTATTATGTGATAACAAACTCTGATCTCTCTGCCTATTCAGGTCACTCGGTGGGCTATTCCACAGATCCCCATCATCTGAGCCAAGGAATCCAAGCAATTTTACATCTGATTTATAGCCCATTTATCCAGCCCATACCTCACCAACCTGGTAAAGCAGTACTATGGGAGACGATGTCAAAAGCCTTGCTAAAGTCAACGTACACAATACATGCAGCTCTCTCTTTGTTCACTGAGCCAGTCTCACCACAGAAGGCAAGCAGGTTGGGGAGGCACAATTTGCACCTGTCAAACTCACAGTGGCTGTTCCCCAAACCTTCTCGCCCTTCACATGCCCTGGCTTTCTAGGGAAAGATGTGCCACCACCTCTCCAGAGACTGAGGTTACGCTGACTGCTCTAAAACTGCCCAATCCTTCTTCCCACCCCTCCTGCATGTATGCAAGATATTTGCCTTTTTCCAACCAACAGAAACCTCTCCTGAATTACCATGACTTTTCAAAGTGACCTTGCAATGAGATTGCCTACTTCCCTCAGCAATCCTTGGAGGCAAGGAATAAAATCCCACCACCTACTATTAGAAAAGCTGTAGTCAGGCACTCCGGCACCTGCAGCAATTCCTCATGGCTTATCACCTTTGTTGCCATGTCCTTTCCGCTCTCTCACTGCAAGGACACAAAGCAGCTGACCTGAGCAAGCACAGAACACACAGCCCTGCTTGCACAGCTCAGTCACATCGCTCCACCACCACACTCACTCCCTTAGCCATGTTACCCCACACCAACCTTGGCTACCTCCACTTGATTCTCACTCTGGACAGTCCCCTGCCTCATTGCTCAGAGCCTCTCTCATCTCCTCTCATTCAGCTATTTTCTTTTTCCAGAGTAGAAGCCATAAATGCGCAGCAATTGCACAACTGAAGTTGTTCCAACTCCTGTGGCATCCTCATGATATGAATCAAAACAGATTAGCTTCGCTATTGACTTGCCAGTTGCAGAAAAGACAGAGTATCACACACCAGGCAGCTGGGGACTTGAAAGAAAACTGGGATAACAGCAACAATAATTCTGTGATTAGCTGAGATCTCGGATAAACCCATAGCAACAAAGAAAGTGTACGTTTCTAGGAGCATTAATTACTGATACTACATTGATGAGAGAGAAAATTATGGCAAGATTACAGAATGGAGGTGCTTATATTTCTATTTTGCATCTAATTTTCATCTCCAAACAAACTTAGTAGCTTGGGAAATACATCTAGTAACATTATAGCAAGACAATCATAACATCCAATGTTTTATACAGATACATTTACTAAAACAGATAGCTAAACAACTTTATAATTACAGTATCAGGACAGATCTGTGGAGAAAATGGTAAACAACGTGCCCCATATGATACAACAAAAAAAGAAAAAGAAGCATGAAGAACTAAAAGAAATCTAGCGGTTGGATAAAGCTTTCAGAATGACAGCAGAGTGATTCCATACCCTTTAAAAGCCACATTCAGAGCTGAACCTTGCAGCCATCCACGCAGAGAGCAGGAATAATGCTCAACAAGAACTACGAGTTCATAACAGGAATTACCAGCAAAGGGAAAACCATATTCTTGAAAAAGAGACAAATTGCCAGAATGACCAAGCACTTATGTGCCTACAGAACTAAGAAACAGATATGAAAGTGCTCCATTCAGCTGCAATGAGCAGAGGAGCAACAACATTCATGCTTCTGAAGGAATTCACCAGGGTAAGGAGAATAGGAAGCACATCAATTTCTGTGCACACTGGTGCTGCTGATTGGGAACTCTGCCATCTCCTGCTGCAGCACAGCTGAACCAAACACAGCAGTATGCAGAGCCCAGGACCCTCAGTGAGCACCTCCATCACTAAGCCAGGCTGTGGGCTCACTTCATGCATTATTTCATACATTTCCATTCTCCAACATTTCATGTATTCAGTTTCCCAACTTATGAATGTTCATAACTAATCAAACCACTGATTGCAGGATTACTCAAGTTTCTGATCACACCTGACATGACCTTATTCACAGAATCATAGAAATGTTTGAGTTGGAAGGGACCTTTAAAGGTCGTCTAGTCCCACTCCCTGCAATGAACAGGGACACCTAGAGCTCCACCGGGCGCTCAGAGCCCCATCCAGCCTGACCTTGGAGATCTGCAGGGATGAGGCATCCACTGCACTTCTGAGCACTCTCTGCCAGTGCCTCACTTCTCATAAAAACATCTTCTTTGTATCCACTCTAAATCTCCCCTCTTTTAGTTTGAAGCCATTTCCTCTCATCTCATCACAACAGACCCTGCTGAAGAGTCTGTCCCTTTCTTTCCTACAGCCCCTTGAGATACTGACAGGCTGCTATAGGTCTCCTCTGAGCCATCTCCAGCTGCACAGCCCCAGCTCTCAGCCCTCAACGCCTTGCTGGGAGATGCTGCAGTCCTGGGACCGTTTCTTTGGCCCTCCAACAGATCTGTGTCTTTCCTGCATTTCTCCTTGTGCAACTGAACTGCAGCCTGCCCAGATGCTGCCTCAGGCCCTGATAAGCCCAGATAAGGCTCTTTATGAGATGATTAGATGCTATATTCGTGCAATCTGTGGCGCGCTTCATGCCTCCCCCCACAGGGACCCTGTCAGGCAAGCAGGAGGCCTCTCTACCCACAGAGCCCCCCGAGGTGCAGCACAGCCGCCTGCCCCACGGGATTTATCCCCCTGAGCTATAGGGACCCCCCAGGCCCACATCAGACCACCCCCCTGTCGTCCCGCTCGTTCCCGCTGCCGGCTGCCGCCGGGGCTGCGGCCCGGGTCCGCCGCGCCGTTCCCGCGCTGTGCCGAGGGGCGGGCAGGGCGCTCCGGCTCCTCTCTATGGTACGCGCCGCTCTATCCCCGTCCTCACGGCCTCAGACCGCCCGCATCCCCTTCCCGCTGCCCTCAGCCCGTTCAGCCCGTGCTGACTCCTCTCTTTCCACAGCCCCACGCAGGAGCTGTCGCCGCAGCCCCGCGAGAACACCCCCGAACGTCCCCGGTCTCCACCCTCTCTATGGCCGCGAGGAGCCGCTCTGCTCCGCGGTCGCCCAGCGACGCGCCCTCTCTATGGTCCCTCGGGCGACATGTGGCGGCTGCTGCTGGGCCGCGGCGGCCTCGCGCGCTGCTTACCGCCTCCCGCCCGCCCCGCGGCCGCCGCCGCCCCCGACAGAGACTCCGCCGACAGCCGCGGCTCCGCGCGGTGAGTGCGGCCCTCACTCGCTCGAGGCGGCGCGCCCTGCCCGTCCGTCGAGGTGCGAGGGCCGCCGTCACCGCCTTGTGTTTTGCAGGTGCTGCGATGCGCCCGGTTGTCGGCACGGCGGGCCCCGCCATGGCCGCGAGCGTGAGGGACGGCGGCAGCCGCTGCCCGGCCTGCTGCCGCGTTACTCCGTGCTGGACGCTGTCACCTGGGTGAGGAGCGGCCGGGTGGGCGGGGGACGCCGTGCCCTGCGGGGAGCCGGGTCCAGGAGTGCTGTGAGCTGGAAACTCCTCTGACTTGTGTTGTCTCTATTGCAGGGAGCACTGGCCGCGCTCCTGCTGCAGCTGGTCAGGCAGATCTCGTGGCTGCGATCGCTGCCGGACGCCAGGAGGGAGCCCAGGCCTCCCTGGTTGCCCTCGCTGCCCGCACGGCACGCAGGTCAGCAGCGCTAGGTTGGGAGGACCCGGCTGTGGGCAGGATTTCTGCCTCCAGACAGCTCGCATCTCTCCTGTTGCTGTCAGAAGCTGACAGGCAGCTTTCAAGCTCTCTGGAGGGATCAAGGGCTGGTATCTGCTCGGGGAATCTTACTCTTTCCTACCTGTTTGATGCAATCCTACATTATATTCTGCTTTCCATTATATTTGTCCTCTGATTGGGGCCTTACACCGTGAGCAATCCTGCTCGGCTTTGTTGCCAGAGCATAGAAGGCAACTAGAATAGATAAGTTCTGCTTTGGCTCCTAGAGTGGAGGCAGCGTGGCTCATGGGAATTGACTTGTGCTCTGTGTTTCAGTGGTGCCTGACGCTTCAGCCGGCCTTCCCTGTGCCCAGCTGGGGCCCTGCTTCCTGCAGAAAGCAGAGGTTGCACCAGAGAATTCATCCTCAGGCCTCCCCTCGGGGCCAGGAGAGAGGCAGCTGTGGGCAGAAGAAGGTATGTGCAATGTGCTACAGGGCAGGATGCCTGTAGCAGAAGGACTTCAGAGTTTTCCTAAGGCAAAGCTAGGACCCAAGAAGCATGTGGCCATTTCTTGAAACATGGAGAAGGGAATGGAAAGACAGAACTCTGGAGTGATGAATCAGGAGTCCAGAGACAGGGAGAAAACAGCTCCTGAAGGCAGGGAGGAGCCCGTGGTATAACTGTGCAGCAGTATTGACTTTCCCAATGTTGGTCTGCCTTTGTGACCAGCATACAACATTCAGTTTCTGTTCTTTTATTGTGGACAGACATTTGCAATCAAGAGGGTTCAGGAGAATATTGCAGAGTGATCTGAGAGGCTCACTATACAAAATGATGCTAAGGGAATTATTTTCTTCCAGGAGTACAAAAATGAGTGCTTGTGCTGCAGACAGGGTGGTGAGAGGGGATATTAAAGGAATTCTTATTAAAACAGGCTTTATAAAAACAAGAAAATATACTTTTAAAAAAGTAGTGTCATCCAGGAAAATGTGCCTGGACATCTAACACATTAAGTCATATCAAGGAAGGTCAGATTAAGCCCACAATACGTTTATTCACTAGACATATAACTACTAATAGTAGCTTTGCAGGAACGTATGATTGTGGTGTAGATGAGACACATTAAATAAACAGCTCACAGATGTTAGATGATGTAACGTGTTGCTAGAAAGGTCAAGGGGGTTCCCCATTCATTGCTTGCTTCTGTGCTGATTTAAGCTACTGCCCATCACTGCTTATCAAAGCCATCTCCTGCCAGAGGTTACCATTCCCATCAGTTGGCAAATGGAGCATTTTGTTTCCATGTTCCTAATTAGCTCCAGGAAAACAGCCAGGTTAATTTACCTAAACTGCCAATTAGACTGTTTAACCCATCTGCTTTTGCCTGAAGCGTATTAAGAAGCATTCAGATACACTGCCTTGCTGGCAGATGACTGGACATGGACCTCTGGGAGAGGTGGTGGGGAATAAGTGGAGACAGGTCTGTCTTCACTTGGCACAGTTGGCAGTGGATGTGTGTCTATATCTTAACAGTTTCCTACTGAGAGTCAATTGGGAGAGCTTTTAGGCAAACTGACAAATTGAACCGTGACAAGTCACTAAGGCCACATGCTCTTTGTTCAGATGTTCTCTGGAGGCTATGAAATCACTAAGTCTCTAATGATGGTATGTAATCCAGAGCTGAAATCTGCTGTACGACCAGACTGAACACTGACGAATTAAACACTAGCTTTTGAAAAGCAGGGTTGTTTGTGCCATGGAACTGCAAAAAAATGTAATTATAGGGTGATAGAAACTGTATTATAGAATAGAAATGTTAGGTACCTGGATGAGCGTACTGTATCAAAGGTCTGGAAGGGCTTAGGAAGTCATTTCTCTGACCAGCTTGCTCCATTACCTGAGTCTTAACAGAGAGCAGAGTTAGAGTTTGTAAATCTATTAGAGTTCTCTGGAGAAGTCAACAGGCATGTGGAGCAAGATTATCCAGCTTTTAGCTTTCTGAAAATCTTTCAACCAGGACCTAAGCCAAAGCTATCTGGAGGAATAAAGCTGTTGTGAGGGAAGACAGAGGGACTGCTCTTCGGCTAGAAATTCCTTAAAGCGTAAGAAATGGCTTTCATGATGGAAAGCCATTACTGGTGGATTCCCCTAAGTGCTTTACAGAAACCTGTTCTGCTTAGCAGAGTCAGCAGTGATTTGGAAAAAGGTGATGCTTGAGGTGACAGGAGAAGCAAATGAATTACAAGATTATTCAGGACAGTCAAACCTAAAAGTCACAGCAAAAGATTGGCACAAGACCTAAGAGGGCGATCTCAAGGTAGGTTGAAGGACTGTGTGCAGGGAACTGTAACTGTAAATATACATACGGAGTGAAGAGTCTCAAATTAATGATTGCCTTGAAACTGTGAAGTCAGTGCTCAACAGCAGCCAGGTAAATGAAATGTTACTTGTTGCAAAGGAAGGAGCTGAGGCCAAAACAGTATCATAGATCTGTGTAAGTGTAACATAGCTGTGCCTTGAACAATTTAGGAAGAGCACTCTGTCTTAAAAAACAGTAACCAAAATGGCATGGACGAGGATGAGAGAGCAAACCGTAAAGAAAGGCTGACTCTTTTGCTTTAAAGTAGTGACAAAGGGTGGTAGGCAGCAGAAACGTGCTACTCTGAGACTGCTAGAAGCAGCTACTCTGTTTTCTTGAGTGGCAAACACCTTTGTGATGTATGCAAACGGTCCCAGTTCCAGTATAACGCAGTAGGATAGAATCTATTATTTAAAAAAAAAAGAAAAAACAACCCAAAAAGTGTGTTTAAAAAGAAAACTTGAGGAAATCTGTTGAAAAGTTGCTTAACATATAATTCCAGGTATTACTGTCAGCAAGTTTTCAGGTGCGTGATCACATCCTATTTTTTCATCCAATTTTTGTCTCGCTCAGAGCTTTTCTTTCTGAAAGTTAAAGGCATGTAGTGCAGAAGCAGGTGATTACAGCCATTCTCAGTGGTACAGCAGCTGAATGTTGCCTTGGGGAGTTGTTTTTTACCCCTGACGGGACTGTAAAATTTGTTATTTCAATTCTGAGATTACAGGCATTTCCAAAGTGTGTTTTCATTTCAAAGCACAATGAAACCAATTGGAAACACTCAAATTTTCCATGAGGCAGCAGTCCTGGATTGTGGCCAGCTCTTGTTGTGAATTAATTCCTGTGAAGTGTTTGGATGTTTCATTGTGAGCAATCTAGACTATCTATGAGAAGGTTAATAAATCTGCATTTGGAGTTAGCTTCGAGTAACATTTGGTAAGTGCAGGATGAACAGTGGGGAAACACAAAATATTTATTAGCTGTAAGATCTCATGGGAAAAAAAAGAAAAGGGTGCATAGTCATGTTACATCATAACACAGATTTAAGGGGGTAGAAATATTGTTGCACAGAAAATTCTAATCTCAATTTGCTGAAGCAGAACAAGATTCCGTGCTGCTTGGGGGTGCCTTTATTTCTCCACATACGAATGAAGGAACCTAAGCAACGTGTTAGACTGTGTGCCTGGTTTTGAGAGGGCTGCTGTGAGACAAGTTCTAAGAGTAATGATTCCCATGAGGAGTTTTGATTTGTGGCTTGCCCAGCTTCAAATGAGACTTCCAAGAGAATTAATTGATTTAATCCATCAGGGGATAGGACTGAGTGTCAGGATTGGCTGGTCCCTCTGTTTTCTTCCAAACGATCTTCTGATCTCTGGGAGTGGTAACTCTAGTCTGGGAAGATTGCTGGGATTAGATTTGAGGAGAGATTTCCAGTTGTGGGGAGGTGTAGGATATATGGGATGCTTCTACATTCTGATAGTTTCCTGAGCACATGAAAGGATTAATGTTTTTTAAATGAATGGTTTGGACATTTTTTTAATACAGACAATTTATTTATTTTTTCACAAGACTTACTGTTGTTAGAAAAAAAAACAAAACACCAAACTACGTCATGAGGGAGATACTGACAGAAGATAGAGAGTTGCAGTGAGGAAGATCAGATCATTTTATGTCTGATCTGAAAATAAATGTAAAGTACAACTAATAAATTTGCAGACTATATTACTTCTGGTGGAATGGTAAATTGAACTTGTGTTTGCCATAGTGATCTTGCTTGTTGTGAGAGTGAGACTTGTTTAGATAAAATACATTCTAATACTGCCAGAGGGGAATTGTTTATCCAGGAATAATGAGGTTGCAGCTGGAAGGCAGGTCACAGCTTCATGCCCTATAGTTTGGTATAGGCACTAAAGAAGTGATCTTGCCTGTCCCATGCTCACTTCTGCCCCTGTTGCCAGCACAGGCTTTTGCAGAGCCGTATGGTGATGGCAGTCAAGGCACTGAGGCTCCAAAAGGACTGACTTCTCACTCTTTTTAGCTCCCTGCTCTGCAGCCGTGCAGCTTGAGAAGGTGAGGAGGAGATGTGGGGAGGAGATGTGGGGAGGACACGGCCACTTCTGCTGGCAGCACCAGCTTAGAGTGATCCCAGCTTCACCACCTGGCGTCAGGTGCCCAGTGGGACATAGCTGCTTATGGTGATTCAGGTTAAAAAATAATTGGCCTCAGTCAAACCTCGCTGTTCGTCCTTCTTGCTGGAGGTCACCGTACTCTTGGAGCAGCTGGCATAAATGCTTGTGTAATCACTTCCAGCACGGTGCTGTCGAGAGCAAAGTGCCTGAGCTTTTTGTTGTAGATGCTTCCATTAGATGATTCTGATTGAACTCAGACAGATAGTGGCTAAACAGGTGGCTGTGCCACCAGCCCTGTGAGGGCGGTGATGAGTAGGGGGGGTGATAACATGAGCCTGCACACAGCACAGCCAGAGCAGCGTGTCTGATCATCCCCTTGCGGAAGCAGGACTGTATACTGCAAGGAAAATTACCTGGAAAAGGAGCTGGGGTAGGCAGGCGCCTAGGCATAAGATCTCAGTGTGATGCTGTGGCCAGCAGGAACAGAAATATGATTCTGACACATGCAAAGTAGGCAGTTATGAATTTGAATAAGGAGGCAATTTTATCCTTTCCGTGACACTGGTGAGAGTGTCCTCACTTCAATAACAATGTTGAAATTTCAGGAATAGTGGCAAAAAAAAAGTCATAAAATTAATCAACTCAGGCAGAAAAGTACTTCAGTTGAAAGATGTGAACAGCTCAGTCTGTTTAGAATCACAGAAAAGAATCAAGAGGGGTTGATTAGTTGTAACAGGACTTTGAAAAAGAGAATGGGCTTTTTAGTGAAGAGACAAAAGCCTACGAGAGCGGGTGACGGAGAGCAGAAACCAGATGTATTTTAATTTGAAATGAAGCACAGATTTTTAAAGCCATGATTATGAGTTGCTGGAACAAACTTTCAAAAGAAATGGGAGACTCTGTCTTTTTGTACCAGCGGGTCAAGATTGGGCCCTTTCTGGAGGAGGTGCATTGGCTGAATCCAGGGCTGCATTCACATGGTGCTTAGCTAATTGTGATACCAAGGTCAGATCAGTCACAGTTCTTTCTGTTGTCAGTGTCCCTAACTGGGCACACCATCAGTAGTCTAGGAAAGGAAGAGCAGAGAAAGGTATCAGAGGGAAGACGTGAATATACAGCCTTGCTTAACCCTGTTTTTGTCCCTCTTTTAATGCAGGGGAGTTCCCAGTCCCTCAGTGCTCCAGCCTGAGGCCAGTTCCACACAGTACAAAGGTAAGCTTTCATTTTTTTGTGAGCTCCATCTGTGCCTGAGGCCCCTTTGCTACAGAAAGGCATCTCAGTGCAACCCCAAGCAGAGCCTGAGCAATCCACTCACATGCAAGACTGCTTTCTGCACTGCATAGCTGGAGGCCGGGAGAATGAAAGATGTGATGTGCTGCCCTTTGGCCAGAGCAGAGTTCCAAGAGCCACAAACTGACGTTCTTTGGAGTGTCTGTGTAACAGCAGTGCTAGTAAAGAAGCACTGGAAGAAAATGTGCCAAAAAACCCCCACCAAGTAGAACCAGTGTGGTATATCTGCATTTTGATGCTATCGTTCACTAGGTGTCTGTGTACTGTTGCTATTTTGGTTTTCTCCAAGCAAGTCCATGACTGGAGAAGATGGTGTCACCCCTCCCAAAGCTGCAAATCAAGACTGAGACTTGTTTGTTAGAGAGAGGAAGAGGGAGACTTTGTGCTTGAAGAGGGTATATCAGGTTGAGTCATGAGGTTGTAAATCATATTATTGTTTTTGTTGTGATTAAGCCTGTTAATTCCTTGCAATCCAGAGCTCCCCATTTTAAAAGTCAGTCAGCTTAGCAATTACTCAAGGACACTCTGAACAGAATGGAAATATATTCAGCAGTTAACAAAGTGAGATCCTCACTGACGTGAATGTGACCTCCTCTAGCAGAAAGGTTTTCACTTGGTCTGCCCAGGGAGGTGAGGAATGAGCTCCCCATCCATCTGCAGGGCCGTGTGCAGTGGGGCAGGTCTCAGGAGGCTCTCTGGAGAGCAGATGAGTCGGCCTGTGTCTTGTCCAAAGAGCTGTAAAGCTCTTTGGTTGCAAGGGGCATTTTTGCAGTGTGACTGTCTATGCAGAGGCATCTCAGCTTATGTGCAGTGTGTGCTGCCGCCGCTCGATGGCACTAAATTTGTACTCAGGCTTGGAGATGAAAGCTGCAGGCCAGGCTAATCCTCCCACCTCCCAGAGCTCCAGTGAAGTTAAAAATACTGTTCATTACTGAGGAAGAAAATACATTGTTTCTGCAGAGTTTTATTAGGGAGACTGCAGTGTTCTGTAAGCTGTCAGTGTGGGCTCGGCTTGAATTGTGTAAAGGATATACAGGTGTGTCAGTGTGTGTTTGACAGAGAGAAATGCCACTTGTGCATTGATCTTGGAGGGCAAATGAGGGCCACTCTTACTTTTGAAGAGGAAAACTCTTCATGGTATGTTAAATTCTGATATGTTCTAATGATATCTGAGTGAGTACACCAGGCTCCCTGCTCAGAGGTGAGCAATGTCTGTGTAAAACAGGGAGATTTTTATGTGGACACGTGACACCAGATTACATCACCCTCTTGATTTACTACAGGACAGCAGAAATATCAGATTGCTCCATTTCCAAGAAGAATCTCTTGTAGGGTTTGTATGTTTTTGCTGTCTTATAACTTTCTTCTTTGACTCTGCAGGAAAACCCAGCTCAGCGAGAGCATTTGGAGGAAGCTGCTTTTCAGTTGCAGCAGATTTTCCGGGTTGATATATCCATTGCATTCAATATCCTTGGTAATGTGGACTTAGGTTTGTTTTGTCCTTAAACAGCACATTCCTCTTTTTGGAGGGCCTCCAAATGGTTGCAGGCCTTATGTGAAGGCAGAGATGGCATATACCCAAACTGAAGCCTTCTTTCAGCAATTTCAACTATACTTTCACAGATTTATTGCCCTTTGTCTCATCCTGCCACCTGATTTATGTCAGCATTTTTAAATCCAGGCTTGGTTGAAATCTGCACTGTTGTCCTGACATCTGTATTTGGAAATTAAGTCATCTCTGTCCTTTTTGCAACATGAGCTGTCCTATCTTCATAGCTCTTTTTTCATTGTCTGAGATCTCAGTCTTCCTGGCAAGCTGAAAAAGCAATTGCAGAACTGCAACTCTAAGAAGAGCTGAAGGAAGATGTAGTGATCTAAGAAAAAACTCCCTGCCCTACATACACCACTAGTTGCAGCACTAGAAAAGTAAACTGCTTCTCCATTAACCATATGCTGTGCTAGTACATGGTCCTTCTTTGCAATGAGATCAGAATAGTTCCTAAAATACTGTGTAGCTGTTTTCCCTGTGGAAACTTTGATTATGTGGGATGGGGGCTGGTGAGCCTGCTAGGAGTGGGCCAGACCATTTGGCATGGGGCAAGGATGGTCAGTAGCTCTGGGGAGTGTCTGCTGCATTTGAGGCTGCGTTCTGCTCTTTTCCCCTATTTTCAAACCATTTTCTTCCCAGGCATTGAAAGTATGAGAGAAGGCCATTACCAGACAGGCTATACCTGCTTCAAACTGGCAGCAGATCGAGGCTACAGCAAAGCCCAGTTCAATGTGGGTCTGTGTTATGAGCATGGCAGAGGCACGGGAAAAGACTTGGAAAAGGTATCCAATGCTTGTACAGTATTGTACTGTATGTGTGTGGCACGCACTATGGAAGCAGTCTTCATTGGGTGTGCAGTCACTTTTCTCCCTTTGAATGGGTGTGACAGTCTCTGAAGTCTGACTGGAAAATGCTGGAAGTAATATAAGCTGCAGGTTGCAGTGCTGGCTTCAGTATCGTAGATCCCCTCGGAGATGTGCTCCTGAAATCCCCTTTCTCATAGCTGCTGAGGTCTTGTTGCAGGTACACAGGCTGTGCCACTAGCAGCTGCAAGAGTACCCAGGAGAAACCTGTCATGTTGCTGTATTTAAAACACCACTGCACATCCGAGCATTTCTTTACATCACGAGCCTTCCAGTTTGGCTACCTTAACTACAGCCTGCCACCTAGTGAGTGCAGCCATAGTCAGCATCCTCCTGTACCCGAAAAGATCTGCAAAGGCTGCTTGTTTTGAGTAATCGTGCAGATCCCCACTGGCATGAAGTGAGCTTTGGTATTGATGGCCCAGTGCCATATCCTTCAAAACTCGGACTTTTGACTAGAGAAGGCAGAGGTGGTTAGAGGGCTCTTGAGCAGTGATAGTCCGCTGCAGAAGAAAAATGTGGGAGGGTTGCCAGGGTAAGCATGTGCAGCTTCTGATAGGTCTGGACAGAGAGGTTAAGCTTGTCCTGGCCAGAGGGGAGTCACATCGTGTTTGAGGGCATGTATTACCTGACTGACACAAGCATGTTTCTCTGTTTGCAGGCAGCTTTTTATTACTACCTTGCAGCCAGCAGCTGTCACCCCATGGCACAGTACCGCTATGCTAGGTGCCTCTTGTGCCACAGTCCTGAAAATGAATGGCACAGGCTTCAGAAGGCAGTGACATTCCTGGAGCAAGCAGCAGAGGCTGGACTTATAGAGGTTGGTGTCCACCACGTGAGAGTGATTATAAAAGCTGAACGTTTTCATAGGAAAGAGAGAAGTTTTTTTAGGATTAAAAGCAAAATTCTTCCTAAGTACTCCTACTATTGCCCATGTATGGGGACAGCCCTGCCTGCATATGCATGGCATATATAGGTGGCCATTCTGTCAACAGTGCTGGTTGTCTGTTTTGCTGTTGGGCTTTTTGTTGTGGTTCTCATAAACCCCCTTGAACAGGACATTTTCTATGTGCTTATGGGACTTTGGCTTGTTGGTAATTTCTGGTCCCATCGTGCATCTGAGATAGATACTTGCTTCTTATCTTTCTTGGTTGAAGAAAGGATGCAGCCATAACTGGTACCAACTATAAAGAGGGTACTTTACAAAAGAGGGCAGAGCTTGATGCACCAATTCTTAGAGGCCTGGTAAGTTGCCCATTCTCTAGTGCCAGGTGGCAGCCTTTTATGTTCCATGCCTGGAGAACGTGCAGCGTGGATGCATCAGCTGTCAATGAACACAGGCTGCTGCATCCAAAAGATAGGGGTCTTCATGAAAGTAGATTTCAGGTTCCTAGAATGCACAGGGTATCCTCAGTTACCACAGATCTCCACAACATCTGTATTTGGATCAAACGTCATGTTTTGGCATACTTTTTACATCACTAAAAGCCATTCTCACCTTGAGGATTAAGGGCAGTCCAAACTCTGGTAGAATAATCTCTCCAGATCTTTCTCAGCCATAGTAGAGATAGCTTTCCAAAATATCTTTTGTTCCTAGAAAGAAAGAAACAAGAAAGTGCAAGGATCCCATTTGCCCCGTTTAGACTAGTCTATCATCCTGCTCTACAAGCATGAGTCTGACTGCAAAACTTTAGGATATGTATGACTCAGGTGCCTGCTTCTGAATTACGTCAGCTCTGAAGCCGGAGCCAAACATGCGTGTAATTGTTCTTTCCAATGCCTAGATTAGACCAGCAGCTCAGGAAAACTGACCCTACAGTTGAAAAACTGTATTTCACTGCCCCTCAGTTGCAAGAGTACAGGTTGCTTTGGTGGAGGAACTTCTGTGAGATGCTTTGAGTAGGAACAGATCCTCATACAGTGTCTCTGACTTTAGGATGACTCATCCTCATAGATCTGTGTACCCTGTCCTCCTTTCCCACTCTTTAGGGGATACATTTAGGCATGTGGCATCTTGTGTTATGAATGCAAGCCATTCTGGCAGTGACTGTATCTCATGTAGCACGCTGTTCCAGGAAGTACATCTGCTATGTCTAACGGACAGCTCACAAGTAGGAGCCGTTCTCTGGCTCTGACTTCCACAGTACAGTTTGAAACAAGATTCTGGGTCTCATACTGTTAGTGTGGTGGTGTTACTGTGTGTGTGGTGGAGTTTTGTAGATCAGATGGGATTTTTCATGTTTATAATGACAGACTGAGTTTCCTAGGACAGCCTTCATTCTCCTAGCAAGTTCTGCTGCAATCACGATACGGCGCACGTGAGTCTCACAGGTGTCCCTGATGAGTTGCCAGAGATTATGCTCTGCTCCAGCAGCAGAGCTTTTACTGCCATTTGGACAACTTGCAAAAACAGGAGTAATTAAGGTGGAAAATCCTGGCTGATTTGTATCATGTGGTTTTGCTGCAGGCACAGGCTTATCTCGGAGTGTTCTACATGAGGGGGCTACAACCTAAGGAAAAGAGAGGTCTCAAGTACCTATTGCTGGCAGCAAAGAATGGCGTAAGTAATCTCTGTGTAAGCTGCTGCTGTTCTGACTTTGGGATTGTTGCAAGTTACAGGTGGCAGATTTCAGGGCTTCTTGAGGCAGGAGTGACTGCCAGGACTTCACTGTGCTGCCCAAAAGGTCTGAGTGGAAAACTGGCACACCCTGGGGAGGAAGCAGGCCCTGGGATGCACACCCTACAAAACATGAGCACAGAAAATGCCGTACTAGGTAGGAGCAGTTCTTACAGAACCAGTGCTTATGCAGTTTCCAACAAATACTCCCCTTGCATAATTTTAAAGCTTTCCTGTTATGGAGCCTTTACACCCTTCCAGTCAAAATCTTTCACCACTGTATCACTGGGAGAATTTTGTGTGTCTATCTTGAATCTGTTCTTCAAAATAAGCCCATTATTTCTTGCTTCCTACAGAGAGGATGAAGAAACTATTTCTATTCCCTTACAGGGACCTTTTCTGTACTTAAATACTTAAATCCCCATTCAACCTTCTCCTGTTGTTTCAGTTTCTCCTCACACATCATGTTGTCTGCATCTTCCTTCTCTGTTGAATTTTCTCCAAGTGACCCATGCTTTTTTGTGTGGGTTTTCTTTGTTGTTTAGTTTTTTGTTTGGTTTGGTTTTTTGAAGGACGATGCCTGGCACAATACTGCTCCTGTGGTCTTACCCACACTTGGAGAAGTATAACATCTCATGTCTTACAGCATAGTTTCTGCTTCCTTTACAGCACTGTGACATTGTTCACTCATTCTCAGATTGCAGTGTATTATAAGGAGCTAGTTTTTTGGGGTTTTTTTTCTGAAGAACTCTTTCATTTTAACTTGAGTTCCTACAACTTTTTTGTTGGAAAAAAATGAATAACTTCCCTCTTCTGGCAAGCACTTCTGATTCTGTCAGCCTTCAGTATGTCCTCTGTGAGTCATTTCTTTTGCAGGCTGCAGAGCACTAGTTTATTTTGTCTCTCCATGTAGTTAAACTGCAGTATTTGTTTTGTCAGTCTTCTCTGTATTTTTCTAATTTTCATCCATCTTAAAATACATGGACTAAAACTGGACTTGGGATGAAGGCATGCCATGGTTATGGCATAATGAGATCCTCTGCTTAGTTCTGTATTCCTTTCTAGTAGTTCCTGATGCTGTTTTCCCATTTGCTTGCCAGTGATTGGTGACTTGGTGGTTTCAGGTAGATATCACAGGGATTCCCAGATTTCCTTTGCTTTTGTCAGCAGTTTCATCTGTGATTGCGTTGCCCACTTACAGTGTTGTGAGGTCTTCATTAATTAATTCTTTACAGTAAGATTGATGATTCTTAATGACATTACATCTCTTGCAAACTTTATGACTACAGTTTTCACCCACTTTTAAGGATGCAGATATTAGACCAGTGGTGAGACTAGACCAGGATAGCCCCAAATGCTCAGACATCGTGTTCTTGATGGTTGTGTTTAATTCCAGCTCTGCTAGAGATCTCCTGTAAGCTTCACAGATGATTTCTTCCTTCCAGCCTGATGCCAGATGCGTATGGCTGCACGAAATACCAATGAATCATCTCATTAAACAGTTGATTGTCCTTTGCTGGATGCACAGTAAACCCCTGAAAGCAGAAAATCCAAGAGGTAACTGCTGGTCCCAGCAGTACTCCTTAGCAGGTCAGAGTTTAGGTCACAGCCAAGACAGTTCTCAGAAGCCAGTCATGTTTCCCCAACTCTGCTTCCCAGTGGATGTTGGCCACAGACGTACCACAGCCTTGTCTTTGATGACAGGCATATGTGCAAGATCCCTGGGATGTAACCCCATGTGTTCAGCTGGAAAAATTCCTCCATGAGTATGTTCAATTACCCTTGGCACCCTGGAGTGTTTCAGTTCAGTAGAACTTATGTTTAGTTGGCTAAAAGACTATTGGTTATGAGTGAAGGAGAAATGGCACTGTTTAACTACAACTTAAGAAGGAGAAAACAAACACAAAAATTCAGGGATTTGATATTTTCCAGGTTTTTGCTGTGCAGAAGCCACAGGGGTAGCTCTGACAAGCATTCTTCCAAACACTGCAACACTTCAGAGAACTGTGTTTCACTCTGGTTACCAAAGTAACCATTTTATCTATTTTATTCTCCCTAATTTTATCAGAACAAGCGCAGAATATAAGAAATGTGTTAAAGAGTGTTCTTAAAGAACTGAGTCAGATTTCAAAGTGTATTACAGTCACACATGCCATGCTAATTTGGAGATCTGCTCTCCTGCTGGTGGTCTTTGAGGTGTTCATCACGTAAGGAACCACTAGTGGAATATTTCATCCTTATCTAACTTTGTATCTTGTCATATCTGAGCAGTCAAGCCTTCAACATGCTTACCTCATCTCTAAAGAAGTTTATTGCTGTCATAAACTGAGACTCGAAACATTTTGCAGGGCGCCCACTCGTTGAGTTCTTTGCTTTCCTCCACCAGCTAGATCCCAGACAGCAACACTTGCAATATGTTCCTTTCTTATGGCTTTATTAAAACTTGCAGACTTGCCACTTACTTTTTTTTCCCCCAAAGCCTTATTTAGATCACTTTTCTGGCAGTTACACTATTCAAGGAGCATTGCTGGCTTTTTCATTGGAAAAGGTCTGCGTGACCACTTGCCTGTGTGTGTTTTTCAATGTCTTCAGGACTGTCATCTTTCTTTTTTGCTGTGAGACTGTGTTCCCAGCATTAGATGAGAAACATAAAGTGCACAGCTGACATGCAAACATATTCATGAGTTTGGATTTGCTGACCCATCTGCAATTTCTGGTTCATTCTCAGCAGTTGTGTGTGCCTGAGTAGTTCATGCTTTTTCTGTTACACTTGCTTGACTTCCTTTCTGCTGCCTGAGATTTCTTCTGGAATGTAATGAGGTGAGGCTGAGCATGCTAGTGGTGCACTGTTGTGCTGCAGGCCTGATGGACTGCAGGGTTGCCAAGGGGAATATTCCAGCCTTGGTAACAAGACCTCTGGCATTTGTTATGTTTTTACAAGACATCTGTGGGAACTGTGGTGCGATATTCCACAGGGTGTGTTCACAGTTTGGGTGTGAGCAGGATGTGGGTGCAGTGAGGCCTCTTAGCTCTGACCCCCAAGGCAGTCTGGATGCTCTGGGGAGACAGCTGCTCTTTTGTTCCTGTGACACAGACCTGGACACTGAAGGGCAATTAATGGCTCTAATTAGAAAGAGACAGGGAGGAGTGGAGTCAGAGGTATCTGGTGAGAATTTCTGCTTGATGATGTGCTTGTCAAAGGAAGGGACAAAATTACCAAAGACACAGTTTGAGGAACCAAAGATAGAGGAATAAACTTCAAAGTTGGTGCTAAGGACTGTCTGTTCTCCTTTTGTGTGCTGTCGTCACTTCTCCATCGTGTGGGGCTGATTACTGTGCTGTCTCCTGTGGCTAGGATGCCCAAAGCAGATACCATGTGGGCGTTTGCTATGAGAAGGGCCTTGGGGTGCAGCAGAACCTGGCAGAAGCGATGAGACACTATCGACAATCAGCTGCTGCAGGGAACAGAAACGCTCAGGAGAGGCTGCGAGTGATAGAAGAGGAGATGGAAGGTACAATGGGCCGTGGGTGAAGAGGGTCTGTGGGACTGCATCGTGACACGGGCCTGTCTTGCCAGAGGAAGGGTGGCACAGTACCATGGCAAAAGGAATCCTTTTTATTGAAGGCAAGGGAGCACTTTTCTTTCTCAGTTGTTTTTACTTCTTAGCAGCTATTTCCAGTCAAGTGGAAAAGCTGTTCCCGTAGTCTGATGCATCACAAAGATCTCGTTTTAATGTATTTTCAGATGTGCAAAGAAAGCACAAGTTCCCTTTCAGAATGAGAGCCTCTTCCTCCAGCCCCTGTTTCTGGGCCACCGAGCGCATGCCTGCAGGTCTCCATTCCTTCCAGCCAAGACAACCTGCCCTCACCCTGCCCCACTCCTGGAGTGCAGACAGGCTCCACATGATGACACTTGGCAGCACAGAATGGAGCCATGCCCTAGGAAACAGGGCGAGTCCGCTGGAGCTGCAAGGTTTGGAGCCCCACCACTGTGGTTACTAGAGCAGCTGGTAAGTGGAGCAGGCAAGCAAAAGGGAAGGTGGGCCTTCTTGTTGTGTGGGACTGGAAGCAGGGTAGTAGTGAGCAGTAAGAGAAGGTTCCTTTTCCGTTAACAGGAAGCTATTTTACAATAGAGTGGTTTTCAAATTAAAGCTTGTGATATTTCCTATGCCACCATGTAGCTTAGCCCTCTCCCTGCCAACGCAAGGCCCTTTCTTATGCTCCTTCACTTCCATGTGAAGCTAATCTCCCACCTTGCTAGGGTGAGTACAGTTTGGGGCTATAATTTCAGTAGCTATGTACATCTTTCACGTGGTTTTAGAGCAATGCTTGCAAGGCACCATATGGCAATGCTGGCAAATAACTGGGTGAGTCTGGCCTGCAATCCCTGAGGCAATTTGATCTTACCTCAAGGTGGATTTCCAGTACAGTCTGGGCTTCTCTCTACACAGACACTGCAGCAGTTCAGTCTGCTTTAAGACCTTGTCCAAAGCAATGCAAGCAAGAGAGTTTTCTGGTTATCAGGGCCCAGGTTTCTGTGGGATGCAGTTGACGAATCCACACGTGCTGGTGGGAGTAATGCTGTCTTCAGCCATTCTGTGCCTTTGTCGGTGCCCTTCAGTCCCCAGTTATTATTCCTTCAGCTCTGGCAGTGAGTTGCTCTCGTGGGGTCACCCCTTTGAGTCACAGTAAGCAAGGTTTGCTTCAAAATTTATATTGTACGTGTGTGCTAAGCACGTCATCTCATTTCCACCAAAGTGGCTAAGGGACATTCCCAGCAGGCAGTAGCCAACGTCAGGCAGGCAGAGGCAAGCAGCTGGTATGATAATTTCTTCCACTGGGGCAGCTGACTCCGGAAAAAGGCATTTGTCCACACAAGTTTAAGCTGATTCAAGGGCATCTGTACAAACTGTCCAGCTTCCTGTAGCTATCTGTGCTGCTCTGCTGCTTTGTGTAGATCAGGCTCTGAAAACAAAGGCGACAGCCCCATCCTGAACTTGCTGTGGTCTCCATTCAGCAAGGGAGGGGCACAGCAACAGCTCAGTGCATCCGATAGCTCAGATTGTTCTTCTAGTCTGGTCTTTCTGCCCAGACCAAACTTTCTTGGACCGTTTCCTTTATCAAGCAGGATATAATTAGCAGGAAATTCCTCGGGTGTATTTCCTATTCTGCAGTAATCCACTGTGTGCTTACGCAGTGATCAGGATAGGACAGGAGTGAGGGATGGGGGGAGCTGGAAGCAATTTGCAGGAAACTGAACTAAGGGGAATTTGTCTCCCTTTTAACCTGCTTGCTGTAATGTATTTTTGTGTAAAGACTGTCCTTTGACAGGCACGTCGAAGTAGTGTACCAGAAGAAGATGTGAGGCTCTGCCATGTGTTTGTCCTCTGTGCATCCCCAAGATGCAGAGGAGTCCTGTCAGGCTGCAACTCCTTGCTGTCGCAGACATGCCACCCTCATAGTTTGCACAGCTGCATCTCAGAATTTGGCTCACTGTCATTGTTTTGGTGCAAGAGCCTGTTTTGTTTGTGAAACAAAACAGCGAGACGTTTGTATCAGCAGGATGAGCATGCTAGGGTAAACTCATCAGTGTCATTTATTGACAGAGATAGGGTCATCTGTGAAACACTTTGGAGATTCTGACTACAACAGTGGGTACCCGGGGTTATTAAGAAGGCCACCTGGGGAAATCTTAATGGGTTGCTCTTGCTATTTGGTCCCAAGAGCTACAGGGAGAAAAAAAAAAAAGGTTTCATTTAGTTTCCTTTAAAATTATGTGTCTGATTCTGTGCCGCTGTGGCTTGTGTATGTGCATGCTAAAAACAGGGCACAGCATCCTCCAGGTGCATGGAAAGGGAGTGTGGGTAGGATGCTTTTGAAAAGCTCGTATCTGTTGGGTGGCACTGCCCATTCTTATTCAACTTAGCAATAAAAATGAAGGCTAAAAATGCCCCCCTGAGACACCTGATGCAGCAGCTTCAGTGCCAGCAAATTGCTTTTGGAGAAACCTTTGTTGTGTGAAGTGTGGAACCTGTGGAGAACTCAGTGCAGTGCTTCTAATGCAAAGGTTGTGTGGCAAAGGAAGCAGTGTGTGCAGAGCACTGCTGGCCCTGTGCTGTGATGGGGGGTAGGCTGGCAGTCTCTTCTCAACATATCTTTTGTAGTCACTCAGGAAGCAACTGCGCTGTGTTCTTAGCAGTGGGAGTGATGGCTTTCCTTTATTCCCATAGCATGATTCTACACAGCATTGCTTTGCTAGAGTGACACATGTTTGTTCTGTGCTTTGTGTCTTAGTTGGAAAGCAAAAACAATGGTACAGAGAAAGGAGTCCTGCGTGTGTGTGATCCAGCAGTGCTTACCTGTGGTCTCCATTCTCCCAGACCTTCTACTGCTCCTCTACCCATGTGCCAACTGTGTACCACTGCCAAAGCCTCTCCCAGTGCCTGTGTCCCTGTTGTCTTACCATTTTGAGTGCAAGTTCCCATGGTTAACAACACCTTTGTGTGCCTCTTCTTCTATTACTAGTATCTGTATCTCAGTTTTTCAACACATGCTATTCAAAGCAGTCTTAAGAGCTCACATACGCATGAAACAAAATGAAAACCTACAGTATGGGTGAAGTTTGTGACTGAATATTTCAAAGCTGTTTTCACGCTTCCCTTTTCCCTGGTTACCTTTGACAGACTCCAGCCATCTGTTGTCTGCTTCGGGGCAAGGGCTAGGCTCCAAAATCCAGTGGCCCGCAAAAGAGAGCGCAGAGAAAGGAATTGTGAGCACCTCGTGTAACCACAGGAGAGATGCCAGAGTAAAGGGGGTGATTTGGGGCATTTTACAAAATGCCAAGCTCCCAGGGTTAGAAAAAAGCTGAAAGCGTCGGTGAAGAAACCCCTTTCTGAGTTGCCTTTTCAGGCTTTCTGCAAACACAGCATTGTCTCAGCTATGTTGGACCTTGTTGCAGAAATATAGCGTTAGGAAAAAAAAAAAACAACCAACAAATTGTTTTATTTAAATAAGAACTGAGATCATGGAGCCCAACTCTGCAGCGTGTTGCAAAGTCCGTGGCCATACTGGTTTATCCTCTGTGCTGCACAGCCTGTAGTCACATGGGTTTATCTGTGTCGTTCTCGGGTGTGATCTGACAAAGCCCCCTCGCTCAGTCTGCCTGCCCTGGGAGGAGAGGGCCCTCCTGCTGTTGTGTGAGTTGTGGGTGATCGTAAGGTGAAAGATGAGGGTGGAAGAAGAGGAGAGACAGGAACAGGCAGGGGGCAGGGAGCTAAATGCAGTGAAATCAGTTGTGGGGAAATTTGATGGCGTGAGGCAAAGGAAGATACATGCCTATCGTGATCAGTCTAGACATGAATGACGCTCTGGACCTCTTCAAACACATGTGCACCCAAATAGAGAAAGCTTTGTTTGACTCTCGTCTCCTTGCCACAGCTGCCAAGCTGCCTACAGAACAGGAGCACTGTCATCCAGTCCGAGGCTCTTCCCACGTGCTGACAGCTGCCGCAGAAGCCCCGAGCCTGTTTCGTTGTGCGCTTGGACCTTCTGGGAGAGAATCATTTCGAAGAGGGTGCTCATTTCTGAGAGGAAGGTGCTGGCCAGTCTCGTCCCCGCAGCGTTCGAGTCAGACCCATTGCCTTTCCCAAAGGTCTCAAAGGTCCGTGGTTTTTCCTGCCCCACAGCTTCCTCATCCTGCGGTGACTGCAGGGAGCCAGGGGTGAAGACGTTGTCCTTGTAGTTGCCGGTGGGTGGCAGGGAGAGCCGTGCCACCCATGCTGGATCAGCCGTCAGCCTCTTGAGGGCCAGCTCTGGAGGGAGAGAAAGCAAGAACTGGTGGTGAGACATGAGGTGGAGGAGACCAAAGGAGAAAAGAGGAGAAATGGGGAGACTTCCTGAAATGGAATCTTGGAAGACTGATTGTAAGCGAATTTACAGTTAAGCTACCAGCAGCATAATTCAAACGGACAGCTTAAAAAAACAAACTAAACTTGGTTGAAAACTCCTTTGTTTTGTTTTGAATAACCATTAGGATTTCTCTGCATTCCCATTTACTGTGGTTTCTAGTGCTCCTCACTAAACGGTAAGCAAGGCCAAAGAAAGTGAAGGCTTAGGACTACAGGGGATACAACAACAGAAAGGGGAAATGTCGAACAGAAAAAGGTCAGTGTTGCACTTCCCTTCCAGGTTACTCTGGAGTAGGGATTGGCTGCTGAGTAGTCAGGTTGAGACCGAAAAGAAGTGGGTTATTGCAAAAACAGTAATAATAGAAGTGGAATGAAATTCTGGATTATGAAATGCACAGCTGGGTGGTTGAGAGCTGGTAACAAAATATTGAGCTATAAAGTAGTTGTTCATCAATTGGAAACAGATGAGCAGCAGTGGGAGCCCAGTGTGGGCGTTGGCTGCGGGCTCATTAATGTACCAGTAATGTGATTCTGCCCTGAAATGGGCAAATGAAATCATACAGTGTGTTGGTCAAGGTATTCCCTGTTGGCATGAAGACACATCCGTGGCATTGTTATTAGGTCTGGCAAAACCTGATTAGAGGTATTACATACAAATCTGATTATCCATCCCTAAGAAAGAGGATCTAAAATGACAGAAGTGCAGAGAAGTATGTTGAGATGAAACAGGAGCGAGCCGAGCTCACAAGATGGAGACCCCAGAGGTAGGGTTGCTTAGCCTGCTGAAGCAAATGCTCGCTGGGGATCTGACTGCAACCTGCCATTATTTTGATGAGTTAAGCACCGACAAAGGAAATCTCTATGCTTAAAATAGTGTTGGCAACAGAAGAAATGATTAAAAGTGTCCGTGAATAAACATATACTGGAATTTAAAGGAAGGACCTCATAGCAGTGTGAGCTTGGAATATCTTCCTCACCAGGCAGCAGGGAAGGAAATGGATTCTTATTTTAAAGTAGAGTTTTGCAGTTGATAAACAGACTGATGTACATAGAAGCTGCTCTCCAGCCCTGCTCTGATCCATATCCTAAGCAGAGCCTAGGACTGCTGGAAGGTGTGAAGGGACAGGCAGGTTTGTGAAACAAGATCTTCAGTAGGGGAGCAGCAAAACAACTGGTGTCTCCTAACAAAAATGTGAAACACCACAACAGCCTCAATCAGAGGGCAAGAGTGGGTGTCATTATAAGAAGTATGCCTCTCTCACTGACTTAGGTGAGCTCAGAAGGGGGAATGTCCTCATTCTCATGCACTTGTGCTGTTTCTAGAAGATAATGACCTGCTGGAACCTGAGACAGCCTCAAAGACAAGTCTCCTTCCTCAGCCAGCTAAGTAGTTACCTTTTTACTCTGAGACAGAACTGTGCCTCGGTATGCATGGGGTGAGGGGGAGCTGGGATTCAAAACTACGGAAGGAGAGGAAGGCAGATGCATTACTTACATTTTGTTTCAGTGAAAACCTCACAGTTCTGTCATGTTTGAAGCTTTCCTTCTGCAGCCTCGGCATTTTCTTTTCATCACAGTGACTGTTCCTTAAGAGCTCTCCCAAGTATGCTGAAGCCCCATGCTTTTTGCTTTAAAACAGCCACAGCTCTGTTCTCCTCAGTCTGTGTGCAACCACTGTGCTCACTGAGTACTGTGATGCCTCAGCTCTGGAGCAGAGCAGCCTGCTCGCTGCAGGGAGAGCTGAGACTCAGTGGGCTGATTGTTCTGGTCCCTGCGACCGTGAACTCCTTCAATTAGGTATGTTGAATTTGTCTGATAACCTTACTGCCTTATTTTAACAGTGTTTTGTTTTATTATCAATAAAGATGTATCTTGCCAGCCACCGAGTGCTCTGTTTTGCTGGTAGGGGATAGGTGCTGCTATGCTGTTCTGCATGTGAATAGCTCAGGTGGGGGCTGGATGCTTTACAGTGTAAACAACCCAATAGCCGACTGGGCCAGATCATTCCTGCAGTTTTTCCCCCACTGTGAATAACACAAAGGCCCAGCCAGCCCCAGCCAGCTGTTAGGATACTTCTGAGCACAAGCAAGGCTTCCTTCCTCCCTCTTTCAGGATGCAGGTCCACTTCTGTTTGTGTTTGGGAGAGAAGGAAGGAGTCCAGCAGCTCTGTTGTCTGCTCTCTGTTGCCTTTTTGGGAAGGTCTGGGCTCACAGTTGGGACTATTCTTTGCCACAGCCTCTTTTGTCGCGTCCAGCACAACAACGTGAGCAGGAAGGCACCAGCACAGACTCAGCTTGCACCACTGGTATTTACGGTGAAATTCAAGTGATTTGGTAAAAGGCTTCTTTCCTACCAACTGCAAGGAGTACGGGAGGCGAGCATTTTTGGGTACGCCTGGCCATAGTGCAGATTACTGAAGTTACCACAATTTGCTGCAGTCATCCCCCCAACTTAAATCATCTGCTTGCAAGTGGCATGGAGAATATATAAATCAGTGCTATAAGCCAAGCAAAAAAAAACCAACCAACCAAAAAAAAACCACAGCAGGCCATAAGCATTCCTGAGGAACACTGAATAACCTTGTTCTGATCGGTGGGCATGGAGAGCCGTTACAGCCCAAGATCTTACTGCGGTGTGAAAGGAGAAGGTGAAGCTGCAGCAGCAAAATTCAATGAATTCTTCATCACTGCGCTTGCTGTGGAGGAGCACAGAGGCTCCACAAAGCAATTTCTGCTGCAGGACGTGAGTCAGACTAACTCTTTCAAATGGAAATGCCAGTAGAAGAGATTTGGAACAAATCAATAAAAGGAACATGTAGAAAATGTCAGGCCCAGATGGTATCCACCCCAGAGTGCTGGAGGAACTCAGATATGAAATTGCTCAGTTTATTAGCTGTTGTTCGTTAACTACTTCTTCAAATAAATACAGTATCAGAGGAGCAGAAGGTAGAAATGATGACATGAGCTTTTAAACTCATAAAGGTGAATCTGGTCTGGGCAGATTCATAGGAATCATTATATAGAGCTAATAGCTGAATACCTGTTACACAGACAGGAACTGACACGGCATTTGCAAGACTGTGCAATCTCCAAATGTGTCTGTGAAGAAGGTAGATGATGAGTCCTGGCTGATGGAAGACACCTGAGTTTGCAGAGGACCTGAGCTGAACCTCAATTAACAGCCAGGTTGTGTTAGGAACTAAGGAATGTTAAATGCTAGGAAGAAAGGGAAGGAGTAAATCTTCCCCAGAGTCATTAGAGGAGTCTCAGCAATCTGAGACCTGCACTGTTTTCCATAGGGGTAAGCGATGCAGAGCAGTGGCTGTGTTAGCACTGATTCCACTAAAACACCCAGAGAGGTACAAGCAAGAGTTGCTGAAGGTCCTAAATCCCAGTGATGTGAGCAAAAAATGGCTGGTGGGTTTCTCTGTCTCTGGATAACCAGCATGGGAACCAACACATCGTGTTGGTTACTCCTACCTGGAGGGATCTGGGGCCAACGTGTTCAGTGACAGCTCAGTGTGCAGCCTGGGCAGCAAAGGGATGAGGAACAACCAAAAACTCCTTATGCCTCCAAGGCAGATGAATCCCAAACACTGCACACAATTCTGGTCAGCACATCTCAACAAATACATGAAAAAGCTGGTAAGAATGTAGAAGACAATAACCAGGATGGTAACAGGAGACAAGAGCAAACCTTTTGAGCCTGGTAGG